GGGTCCTACACGGTTACAAGCATACGTGTAGGACCCAGGCCTGGGTCCTACACAATTACGTAATACCCCGGGGGCGGGATCGGGTCCAGCCCCGCGTCCGGGGCTCCATCTGAGCTCGGACAGCCGAGCTCGATCTCATCCCCTCCTTTCCTACCCTCAACCACCATCTCACCGAGGGGACCGACCCAAAGACCGACAAACGACCGGCCACCGAACCCGAAGAGCACCCGGACAGCCGCCACAGGCACCCCCGAAACCCGTTCGAAGCAGGAGACCCCACGCACGCCCGATTCACCGCTGATCCGGTCCGATCCGATCCGATCCGATCCGGCGCCGAAAAATTGCCACCTGGGTTCAAATTTTGTAAGGATTAATTATTTTTGGGTCTCCATCCTCCTAAGGGGCCCGAATTTTTTTTTGTGGGTCTCTCTTGGCGAAAAGGCCCCCCCCTTGGCCGTCATGAAGTTACTTGGTGGCTTCATGGCCCCTAAAGGGGCCTATTTTTTTCTCTTTTTGGGCCTCTCTTGGCCAAAAGGCCCCACAAGGGGCCAAATTCAGCCCTTTAACCAACAAGCCTGCTTTGTGGCGTCTCCGTCCCCCATAAAGGGGCCAATTTTTTTTTCGGGGCGCTCTTTTGGCCAAAAGGCCCCACAAGGGGCCAAATTCTGCCCCTTGGCTAGCCATGCAGCTGGTTTGGAGGGGCCCATGTGGCCAATCATCCCCGGGTGTCTGTGACCAAAGGACCTCTTTTGCTATCCACCTCTAGGACCCTTTTGGGTCTATCCACTTCTGGTGTTTGTTTGGGGTCTTCAACAGCCAAAGAGCCGTTGGAGACCCCCTTTTGGGCCTGTGCAGGCTTGTGCTCAGACACTGCAATGGCCCAATGGGATCAGTTGGAGAGGGGGCTCCGGACTGCCCCTGCACTTATTGAATTATTGGTCTGACCACAATCCTGTTTCTCCTACAATCCAGGTCTAACCCTCTCCTACAATCCAGGTCTAACCCCTTCCTCACCATCCAGTGACGATTCATCACAATCACTCAATTTTTGTGGGTACGTTGGCTTGCGTACTTTGCCCCCTCATGGTCACCACAAGGCTGACATATTGGTGGTTACTTATCTAATTATACCTTTTGGTTCAGATTCATCAAGATATGTCTGACAAGTCCTCAAACCGCCCAATCCCGGCAGGCCACAGAGGACACATTCCCTCCCTCCCGCCCAATCTCGCGGGCCCCCCACCTCACCATCCCTCTAGGCAAAGAGACCCCTCTTGGGCTCAAGCACATGATGGTCGGCAAGACACCCCTGTGTTCCAAGGTCACCCTGGTGCAATGTCTGGAAACCACTCCTGGCAGCCGATGTTGGCCCATTCCAGCCATCATCCAATGAACTACTCTGGCCCCCCACAATATATGAGTTACTCTGCGCCGATGACCTACGTGGCACCAACATCCTACCAACACTCGGGCCCGGTATACACTGGCCAACCTCATTACCCCTACTCTGCGGCTCCACAATCACACTTCCCCCCCATGGGCCAACCTGGCCCCCCATACTATCACCATCCGTCAATGCCGATATACGCCCCCCTCCCTTCTCAACAGATGTTCTTTCCTGGTCACTCGGAGCCGACCCATTGGCCAATCCAGACAAATGGCCCCCATCCACCAGTAAATTATGGGTCCCGCCCCTGTCCAGCCGCCACATCTGGTCAGCCCAGCAACCCATCTGCCGCTCCCCAGCCATTGACTAGGGGGGTAAACTCCAATGGATCTGTCCAGACCTGCGAGCACCCAGATGGTCAACTGAAAATGGACTTACCCAATCCCGTGCCCAACGAACTCAAAATCGACACACACAATCCTGTGTCCAAAGAGGTGCCTCAGTTCCATGAGCCAAGGGAAAGCGGGGAACTTTCGGGTTGGGACTTGGGGATCGAAGACCGCACCGATTTCCACGAGCTGAAGTCGTCATTCCTACCGCACGGTCGAGCCGAAATTGAGCCCTTGCCTTTGGAAGGCACTGCTTTGTGGCTGTTGCCCCCCTCTGGGAGTACCCCGGTCGAGAGCACTTTGCCGGTTAAGCCTGATTTGGCTGTTGATCAACAGATTTCCATGCAGCTGGATTTTGAGATGGGGGATGGTTTGGTAGATGTGGAAGGTGGGTGTTTATTTGATGAACTTCTGTGCTCGTATCATGTGCAACTTGGTTTTGACTAATCTTATGTGGCCTGTTTTCAATAGGGGCCGGCCCTGTAAGAGATGAGGGTCCAGAGCCCCCACCATCAGGGATGGAACTCAATAATCCCAAAGTATCAAGCGCCGAAGGGGCCCCTGCTCAAGGGGTCACCGCCCAAGCTGAGGGGGTCCCTGCTGAAGGGGTTCCGCCCAGTGGTCGTGTGATGACTTCACTTGATGTGGACAATTTTGACTTTAGTGTGGGGAGTAAGTGGAAGAGGAACCTTACCTAATAATCTGTCAATGGGCTGATTTGGACCTCTGTGCCTTCAAGATCCGATGGATCCCCCCCCTCTATACAGATTCCACGAATACAAGGACCTGAAGAGGTTTGCCGAGATGTGGGCACGCGCGCATCACTATAAACTTGTAACAGGCAGCTCAAAGACAGGGAAGAATGGGTACTTGAAGTGCTCGTTGGCCGGAGAGGATCGAAACAAGCCCGATACGAATCTACAGCGGTTGGCTCGGAACAAACGTATTGGTTGTAGATTCAGGATCTCTGCGCACAAACCGACAAGCAAAGACCGCTCGAATGAACCTTGGGAAATTCGGATGGTGGAAGACTTGTCTCATAATCACGGCCCAATGGAGACTCAATATGAGGTGCTCAATCAACGGCTCGATCCAGCACTAGAAACCGAGGCGTTACGGATGGCATCCTTGGGGATGCAGCCTAGGGCGGTAGCAATGATGCTCTCCAAAGAGGCTGGCCGTCACGTCACATGTAGGACAATTTACAATGTGACTTCGGGGCATAAACGAGGGAAGAGGAAAGGGGACACCCCAATGCGGTACCTCCTTCGGTGCCTCAGCGAGTCCAACTGGATACACGACGAGGCGTATGACGACGATGGCCAACCCCTATACGTGTGGTTTGCTCATCCTGGCTCTGTGGCACTGGCGCGGACGTTCCATCATGTGGTCTTGATGGATTGTACGTACAAGACGAATGTCAACAACTACCCTCTGTTGCATGTGGTAGGGCAGTCAGCAACCAACAAGACCTTCTCCATTGGTTTTTGCTTCATGAGGAACGAGTCTGAGGTTGCATATTCCTGGGTGTTGGACAAGTTGAGGTGAGTTGAATGGGTTTCTTGTTGGCACCAGTTCTCACATCAGACAGACAGATTGATTGTGGCTATTCTCAGGGACGTGTGGGCACCCGAAAGACCACCCAAGGTGATTGTAACGGACCGGGAGAAGGCCTTACGAAATGCGATTGCCAAACACTTCCCTGAGGCCGAGAACAATGTGTGCTTATGGCACATTGATCAAAACATCCGTGCGGCTTGTTACGGGGCATTTGCGGCGGTGCCGGGCGAATACGAGGTGTTCAAGAAGAAGTGGCACACAGTGATGTATTCAAGGGATGAGGACGCTTATGAAGACGCCTGGGGCAAGCTTCAACTGTATCTAGCCGATCGCGCGTCGGTCCTGGATTATCTGATCAAAAACATCATCCCCGATCGCGAGTTGTTCATGAGACCTTGGATAGGGCAGACCGCGCATTTAGGCAATAACACGACCGCTCGGGGGGAGTCTGCGCACAGTTGGCTGAAGAAACACGTGAATTCGCACAAGAAGGACATGGCGAATGTGTTTGAGAAAATTGCTGAAACGGTGGACTACCAGGTGACAAGCATTGTGACTGAGATTTCAAACGAGAAGCAAAAGGGGAAATCCGCGATTCCAGAATGCCTTCGCCCACTCAACACTAAGGTATCAATTCATGCAATTGTCATGCTTCAGCAGCAGTGGGACCTGTACCAGAAGAATCGGGACGCAGCGGCCAAGGGAGTGGAACTTGACGAGTGCACTGGGAGCCTGTGGGCCACGATGGGTGTTCCGTGCTGGCACATGTTGGTGGATATCTTGGACAACAAAGGTGTTGTTGAAACTACAGATATTCACGATCAGTGGAAATTGTATTATGACCCTGAGGACCCGGTGAG